TCATACATGAAGAAAGCAAAAAGTCATTAAAAAGACAGAGAAGAAAGAAAAGACCAAAAATGGATGTCAGAAGAGACTCAGAAACTTGTTCTTGAATGTAGAGTAGCTAAAGTAGATGGAAGAAATGTTGAAGAAAAAGAGATGGATGGAAGATTTCAAAGGGTGGCTCGAGAAGACAAAGTAAAGTATTGTAATGAAATGTGCGAAGACCTGGAGTTAGAAAAACAAAAGGGAAGAGCATGCTCAGCATTTCTCAAATTGAAAGAACTGATGAAAATTTCAAGCCTCAATATACAATACTGAAGGAATCTATAGGCAAAATATTGAACAACACAGGAAGCATCAAAAGAAGATGGCAGGAATATACAGAGTCACTGGGGATACTGTATCACACAAGGGGATACTGCATGGTTTAAAATCAGAAAAGGTGTGGATTAAGGTTGTATTCTTTCACCATAATTATTTAATCTGTATGCTGAGCAAAACATCCGAGAAGCTGGACTGGATGAAGAAGAATGCGGCATCAGGATTGGAGGAAGACTCACTAACAACCTGTGATATGCAGACAACACAACCTTGCTTGCTGAAAGTGAAGAGGACTTGAAGCACTTACTGATGAAGATCAAAGACTACAGCTTTCAGTATGGATTACTCTTCAACATAAAGAAAACAAAAATCCTCACAACTGGACCAATTAATTGACATCATGATAAACGGAGAAAAACTGAAGTTGTGAAAAATTTCATTTTACTTGGATCCACAATCAACACCCATGGAAGCAGCAGTCGAGAAATTCGTGTTGGGTAAATCTGCTGCAAAAGACCTCTTTGAAGTGTTAAAAAGCAAAGATGTCACTTTGAGGACTAAGATGTGCCTGACCCAAGCCATGGTATTTTTAATCACCTCATGTGCATGTGAAAGCTGGACAATGAATAAGGAAGACCAAGGAAGAACTGATGCCTTTGAATTATGGTGTTGGTGAAGAATTTTGAATATATCATGGACTGCCAGAAGAACCAACAAATCTGTCTTGGAAGAAGTACATCCAGAATGCTCCTTAAAAGTGAGGATGGCGAGAGTACTTCTCGTGTACTTTGGACATGTTATCAGGAGGGATCAGTCCCTGGAAAAGGACATCGTGCTTGGTAAAGTAGAAGGTCAGAGAAAAAGAGGAAGACTCTCAATGAAATGGATTGACATAGTGGCTGCAACAATGTGCTCAAGCATAGCAACGATTGTGAGAATGGTGCAAGATTGGGCAGTTTCATTCTGTTGTACATACGGTTGCTATGAGTTGAAACCAACTCAAAGGCACCTAACAACAACATCTTCTACAGTGTAACTAATAAATGCTACAGCTATTATATTATTAGTATTTCTTTCTTAATATCGCTAACAAGACCTGCATTCTCAGAAACAACATATAAGAGACAGGTGAAAGAAATGTCCACAAATAAGACTAAGAAGCTATAGCCTGGGAAAAAGTTAGAAAAAGCAGTCATGTGATTTTACAAAGGTCTAGAAAGAAGAGAATTTCAAGAGAGAAGAATTGGACTAGACTATCAAATGCTACAGAGAAAGTGGGTATACTCTTAGCCATTGGACTGTGTTGATAAGGAAACTGAATCTCTGGTAGACCGAACTCTCTCTCTCTTTGTTGATCACTGGTCTTAAATAATGTCGGATGCTGTAGAAATTTATGAGACCAACATTTTACAACCTTGTCTGTACATTAAAACCACTTGGGGACCTTTTAAAAAAGATCCAGCTCAGTCCCTTCCCCAGTCAATTAACTTAAAAATCAATTTAGAATCACAGATTTAGATCAGTAGAATACTGATAAATTGGAGCAAAAAATAGCTTAATATTTAAAAATATGAACCTGGGTTTTAAATCCCAGCTTTGCTACTTCTTACTTATTTAACATTAAGTAAGTTGTTTATCCCAGAAAGTCCCCTTCTCTTCATTTCAGAATCAAATAATAGGAATACGTGATTACTTAAGATACTGAAGTAATTAGTAGAATGCCTTTTTTTCCCCCATTGCTGTCAAGTCGATTCCAACTCATAGAGAACCTATAGGACTGTGTGGAACTGACTCACAGGGTTTCCCAGAAGCAGCTGGTGGATTCAAACTGCTGACCTTCTGGTTAGTAGCCGAGTTCTTAACCACTGTGCCACGAGGGCTCCAACAGAATGCCTAGCATGTAATAAATGCTTAATACATTTTGGAATAGTTTCTTCCAAAACTGTCACTCTAAATTCCTAAACTGTGTTTATGACCAGGGAATTTAGGCACTGGAATTATCTGGATCTCCTTTTTTGTTTAACCTTTTTGAAGTACATTTATTTACAAACTGATGAGCTGGGTTCTATGCAAGACACATTAGCAAAGCCTCATCCTAAAATGAATTTCAAATTGGAATGATAACAGCTAATTTGTTTACATGCTCACTGGGCATTAGGAACTTTTCTCAGCACTTTATTATAACAATTTGCTGAGAGAGGTTCTATGACCATCCTTGTTTGATAGATGAGAAAGCCAGGTTCAGGGAGGTTGAATGACTTGCTCAGTCATCTCCCTCAGAAGCCTGGGCTCTCAACCACCTCATTCTACTGCTGTACACATGCAAAAACAACAAAAAACCAAAACCATTGCTGTCAAGTTGATTCTGACTCTTACTCTTACAGGACAGAGTAGAACTGTCCCATAGGGTTTCCAAGGAGTGGCTGGTGGATTCGAACTGCCAACATTTGGTTAGCAGCTGAGCTCTTAACCAGTGCGCCACCAGGGCTCCATATACATTTGAGGACCCAGGAAAAAACAGAAATCTGAAGGGAACTTGGGAGCACATCCCTTCACCTAGGGACAAGCATGCCCTGCCACACTGGGAAGGAACTCAACCTTTTTCTTTGCACTTTCAGGAGGAGCTGAGTTTAGCAAACCTTGACCCTCTGCCGAGTGGTCTGGTATTTTGAATATTTTATCATCCTGTTTTCTGGAAGCAATTTGAATGAAATAATCAAAATAAGCATAGAACAGAAGTTCTCTTAAGAGTTCTTAGTGTTCGTTCTCTACTGAATTGTGTCAAAATATCTCAGCATGATAACCACATCCTTATTTTTTTAAAAAAAGGGCTAGGATTTTAAAGGCAAAATGTATCAGCTTCCATACTTTTACTTTACCATTGTGAGTGAGCAAATGGATTTCTAGTAGCGAGACCTATTGAACATACAACTCTAACTAAACTATATGGACAAAGTTTTTTATACATGCACTATATACATGGAGCCCTGGTGGCGCAGTGGTAAAGAGTTACGGCTGCTAACCAAAAGGTCAGTAATTCAAATCCAAAAGCTGCTCCTTGGAAACCCTATGGGGCAATTCTACTCTGTCATACTGGGTTGCTATGAGTCAGAAAGGACTCAACAGCAATGAGATGTTATACATGCACAATATTATTGCTCAAATTAATTTATATTTCTTAATACAGGCCAGGTTTCCCTTTTTTTCTTTAAAAAGCAAAATAAAGCTTCCCTTCAGAGTTGAAAACACATTCTATTGGTTATAGTGACTATTTGAAGAGATTTATTTATATTAAGAGTGCAGAATCGGGTAGCATATGACTTATTTTATCCTTTATAAAAAATACATACATTTTTTCCTGTCAGAACTTATTTTTACTTAGACAACATCTATTCTGTTTTCTTCTTAAATTTGTTATCTGTTGATTTACCACTTGCATATCAATGACTGGTTATAACATAATAAAACAGTCATCATATAAACAAATCAAAATCTACCAACGTACTGAAACAGAACCAATGAAAATAGATCCTAACACTGAGGAAAAACAAAAAGAAAAAGAAAATTGGAAGGAGCCAGCCTCAGCTTTAAAACTCTGGCACAATGACAACTGAACGTATAAGATTTAGGGAGACTTTATGCCCCTCTTCTTTTTCCGTATTTGTCAACTAAAATAAAAATTCTGCTTGCTATTGCACTAAGAGCAATTTCCTAGAGAAAACAAGTCCTCAGCCTAAATTGAAATCACATTTGAAATTTTCACATTATCTTTTCATTTTGCAAAATTCAGAAAGTAACTCACAGAAAGCAAGTGTACCATCTGAGCTGCACTCCCCATGCTTATCTCTGTAGCACAGAAAGACTGAGTCACTTTGTTAATTTATAACAGTGCTAGTCACCTCTTGTATGCCAAAAGAAGAAAGAGTGACACTTACATGTGCCTAACCCAATGGTTCAAGTTAATTAGACTATAATGTGCACATTCTGAGTTATACAATATTTTTCATAATAATTATATGCTATGGAGACATCTATTAAAAGCCTAAGTGATCATTTAAATGCAAAATCCCCGATAGAACTCCATTATATTTTTCATACTAAATTAACATTACAGACTTCTAAAGGATGCTTTAATTAGGCATGGATGTTATCAGCAATATTTGGCAAAATAAAATCTGTCACTGTGAAATATTCATTAAGTTCAATTTCTGTCAGTCAATATTAAGTGTTTTCTGAACCTTCAGTGAGAAGCTAAAAGCTAGGTGAGAAAATGAAAATCCGCAGACAACCCTCCTTCTTACGTGCCATACATACAAAAATACATGGTCATTAGGGGTCTTTTATATTTCATAATTGCCAAACAACTGGCTTTGCTTTCATCTTTAATGCTCAGAGGCCTCCATTAGAAGGTTGTCCTAATGCTCCAAAAAATGAAAAACAAAAGGCCTATGCTAATTTAATACATATCCTTCATAAGACAACTTGAATGAGATGCGTCTGTGTGTGGATCTGTATGCACCATTAGAAGAATTCCACACTCAGTAGGGGGCAAAGGGAGAAAATCAGAGAGGGTCAGGGAGTCAAGTGAGATGCTGAGACAGAAAAAGGATACACAAAAGGCCTGCACAGCACAAGAGGTAAATAGTCACGGGCCAAGGCAGAGCAAGGCTGGGAAATTCAGCTGAGATGCTTACCGGTAATTTTCCCATTGGCTTCAAGGGGAGGCTGCCAGCTCACAATGACAGCACGCGGCTTCCCTTCTCGAGTAATGACTGTCAAATCCTTGGGAGCAGAGGTCGGGGCTGCAAGATGAGACAGAGACAAGACCTTGTCATTAGAATTGAAAGAAAACAGACATTTGTGGGACTTTTATCCGTGGTGTTGACATTCAGAATCTATCATGAAGTATATTATGTTTATTTTGCCATTTACAATTTATTTCAAGGGTTTGAATTAAATAAGCAAAGAAACAAAAACAGAAAAACTTAACGATTTTCCATGAAAGTTAAGTGACTTCCAAAAGTGAGACTATAGAGAGGAGAAAACCAGAACTAGGATTTTCAAGTGGTCTCTGCATTAAAAATATGAGGAACATTATAAAAAACAAAGGAATGTATACATACCTAGTGAGATTGATGGCTACATGTCTCCAAGAGACAAAATTCTGTTACAACTATAGGATTTATGAATGAAAATGTCACCTAATTTTGTATTGCCTTAAAAGCCAAAATAAATACAATGAGTTAAACTCAGGTTGAAACAAATATTTAAAAATAGCAGAGTTAAGTAATCTATGAGCGTCTTAATATCATGTGGGCATGAAACCCTGTCCTTCTTAAAGCTACTTTTTCCACATGTTGTGTTCGGTGAAATTTTAAATATACTTTAAAAGTGGCAGCAAACTGACTGAACCAGTTCAGTATCTTCCAGGCTTCTTCCCCACCTGCTTTCTCACTCTCTATGCTTTAACACCATCACCCATCTGTCAGTTTGTCGTACTGCGGTGGCTTGCATGTTGCTACGATACTGGAAGCTATGCCACCAGTATTTCAAATACTAGCAGGGTCACCCATGGTGGACATGTTTCAGTAGAGCTTACAGACTAAGAGTGACTAGGAAGTAAGGCTTAACAATTTACTTATAAAAAGCAACCAATGAAAACCCTATGGATCACAACAGCGTATTGTCCTATATAATGCTGAAAGATGAGCCCCTATGTTGGAAGGAACTACACAATGCTCACAACAGTGGACTCACATATCAATGATCATGAAGATGGTGCAAGATCGGGCAATATTTCGTTCTGCTGTACATGAGGTTGCCATGGGTCAGAGCCAACTTGGCAACAAATAAAAGCAATATGATTTGGCAGGCAGTTAGTTTTCCTTCTGGGTAGTCCACAATGCTCCAAGTCTATTATCCACAATCTTTTTTAGTTATTCTTATTTTGACATAGGCAGTTCCAGAGTATATGTAGATTCTATGATTGGGTTCTAGAAGAATTTTCTGATCTCCATGTAGGAATGCTTGGGTATCACAAGGTAAGTAAAACTTCGCCCTCTTTCTGAATTCATCCTCACTCTTACCACTCTCTTTGGCTCTTCTGTTGGTCTACTGTGCAGAATCTGAGCATTATCAGCACTCTATCTAGTTTCATTTCCCTTTTAAATAGAGTTCCCCATATGGAGCCCAATACAGGAGATATATCGATCATTCCCACTTTATTTTCAAAGTCTTGGTTCTCTAAGCCACTAGGATTTCAGGTTAACAAAAGTGGCACATAATTGTTATATCCTCACAGGCCACTTAAGATATTAACCTTCCCCAAACAAACAAACCAAGAAAAAGAAGGAGAAAGAGAAGGGGGAGAAGAACACAGAGAAGAAGAAGAGAGAGGAGGAGAAGGAGGAGGAAGAGAAGATGAAACAGTGACAAACATTCATAGGTCGAGTGTAGTTGATCCTTGAGTAAAGATACTGCATATTTATGTGTTAATGAAGTTGATGAAAACCCTAGATTCAGGGATCTTCTTGCAAGTAAAGCAGATTTGATATAGCAAAATAACAGACCTTAAAGAAGGGTTATTCTTACAAAGAGTTAATTCAAGATATTTTCTGGGCCAGATAAGAAGGTAAGATATAGTCACAAATTTACTTAGATTATTATACAAAATATAATAAAGATTTTTGAGATTATGGAAGTAATTAAAAGATTTGTTTTTTTTTTTTTTGAGAAATGTGGAGCAGAACTCAAATTCACGTAAAAAGACCAGGCTTAATGGTCTGACTGAGACTGGAAGAACCCCTGAAGCCATGGCCCCTGGATGCTCTGTTAACCCAGAACTAAAACCATTCCCAAAGCCCATTCTTTAGATAAAGATTAGACTGGACTATAAAATGTAAAATAATACTCGTGAAGAGTGTGCTGAAGGCAGGAAGGGGCAGGAGCTGGCTGGATGGACATGGAAATCCAGGGTGGAAAGGGGGAGTGTGCTGTCACATTATAGGGATTGCAACTAGTATCATATAATAATATGGGTATAAATTTTTGTATGAGAAATTAACGTGTGCTGTAAACCTTCACCTAAAGCACAATTAAGAAAAAAAAAAAAGATGACATACACATGGTGTAAATAGCAGAAGTGGGACTGGAATCAGATCTCTTTTCCCACCACACAGCCCTGTTCAAAAACTACCTAAGGAATAGCATGTACTAAGATATAGTATATACCTAAGACATAGCATCTTCTCCTTTTCCCCTAAGCTTCCAGTATAGTTTTTTCTAAAAGCTCTCTACAGTCCCAAAATGATTAATAAACAAATTTTAACAACCATGTTGGAAAACACAATTCCAGTGTTAATTACTATATAAACATGTGGGATTTTGCAAATATTTTACTATATCTGTATCTATAAGCCAACTCAGCTGTTGGGGCTAGTCTTTTCCCTGATACCTTCTTCCCCCCACCAGAAAAAACAAAAAGAGAGAAAAAAAAAAGATCTTTCTTCTTAAGTAGTCAGAATAGTCTGTTTTCTCTTAACTGTGCTAAAATTCAAATTGATGTTTATTTAGAAAACAGTCAAATGGAGATGATTAGATTGCTTCACTGAATCTGTTATGCTATTCAAAAAGATAAAATAGCTCTTCAACTTTATTGTTGTTAAGTGCCGTTGCGTCAGTTCCGACTCATAGCAACCCTATGTACAACAGAACGAAACCCTGCCCAGTCATGCGACATCCTTGCAATTGTTGCTGTGTTTGAGCTCATTGTTGCAGCCACTGTCAGTCCATCTTGTTGAGGATCTTCCTCTGTTTCATTGACCTTCTGCTTTACCAAGCATGATTTCCTTCTCCAGGGACTGGTCCCTCCTGATACCATGTCCAAAGTACACGAGACGAAGTCCTGTCATCCTTGCTTCTAAGGAGCATTCTGGCTGTGCTTCCAAGACAGATTTGCTCATTTTTCTGGCAGTGCGTGGTATATTTAATATTCTTCACCAACAGCATAATTCAAAAGCATCAGTTCTTCTTTGGTCTTCCTTATTCATTGTCCAGCTTTCTTTGCATGCGTAAGAGGTGATTGAAAATACCATGGCTTGGATCAGCTGCACCTTAGTTCTCAAAGTCACTTTGGTGCAGTGAATTACTTAATATGGCCCTTCTGGCAATAGTCTTTGTAACTCTCACTGAATGACTGGGTGGAATTATGCAAATGAGGTGCTTGTGGCCCACCAAGGGGATTGGATAGCTTGCTAATAAGGTAAATTACGTGCATGGCACCCTTGTGGGGTTAGGACCATGCAAATAAGGTATAAAGAAACTTAATGACGGGATTGGTCAGTTTTGCCATCCCACTAGGCTTAAAGGGAGATGAGGAGAGAAAGTGAGAGGAGCTGCAACATGGAAGACAGTGAGAGAAAGCAGTGCAAGATGGCAGGAACCAGGAGACCGTAGCAAGACAGCTTAGGTGGGGCTTGCCGAGGAAGCTAAAAGGTGTAATACTTGCCCAAGAAGGCCTCAGCAGGGCCTGGTGGCAGAGGATGAGAAGAAGCTGTCCTGATCAAGGAACTGAATCTTGAGCTGTTGTTCCTGTTACTTCCAAGCTGATTCCGATACTAAGTTGTACACTGTTACTTCCCTAATAAACCACTTAATTGTGAGTACGGTTCCTGAGTTCTGTGAGATGTTGCAGCAAATTATCAAAGCCAAAGAGGGGAGGAAGAATACTGAGGTGAGGGGAGAGTAGTTGACGTTAGAGATGATGGAGTGGTACAGCAGTTTGGAAAAGTTGGACATTTAACCTCTGCCTCATAGGAACCAGATTTGTGCTGACCTTTATAAAAGAAATTATTCTTTTAGTGACATCTTTGCTTTTTAAGATTTTAAAGAGGTCTTTTGTAGCAGATTTGTCCAATGTAATACATCATTTGATTTTCTGGCTGCTGCTTCCATGGGCATTGATTACGGACGCAAGTAAAATGAAATCCTTGACAACTTTAATATGTTCTCAATACATTGCAGGGTTAGTCATTAAAAAAAAAATCCAACAATTAATCTCTTTCAGGTGTTGTCTTCGTTATCTAGTGCTGCTATAATGGAAATGCTACAAGTGGGTGGCTTTAACAAAGAGAAATTTATTCTCTCACAGTCTAGGAGGCTAGAAGTCCAAATTCAGGGTGCCAGCTCCAGGGGAAGGCTTTCTCTCTCTATTGGCTCTCAGGGAAGGTCTTTCCCCTGGCCTAGGAGCTTCTCAGTTCAGGGACCCTGGGTCCAAAGGATGCGTGCTCCTGGCTCTACTTTCTTGATGGTATAAGTTCCCCTGTCTGTCTCCCCACTTCTCTCTTGTATATCTCAAAAGAGACTGACTTAAGACAAAACCTAATCTTGTAGATTGAGTCCTGCCTCATTAACATAACTGCCACCTATCCCACCTCATTAACATCATAGAGGTAGGGTTTACAACAAATAGGAGAATCAAATCAGATGACAAAGTGGTGGACAATCATACAATGCTGGGAATCATGGCCTAGTCAAGTTGATAAATAAGTTTGGGGGACACAATTCAATCCATGACAGGTGTTATACAAGTTCTTTTTCCTTAAGCCATGAGAACGTTAGTGAATAGAGAGGCTCGTATTGGAATTCATGACTTAAATATTTTTATCATATGAACTTCAAACTATTTCATAATACTTGGAAGAGAATGTGGCCTTGACAACTTTAATGATCCCTACTAAATGGAGCAGAATGTCTCTGGCCTGCTTCTCTCCAATCTCTAGAATGCTACCTGGAGTGATCTGTTAGAAATATACATCCGATCTGTATATCCTCTGTTTTCAACTTCTTCAATGACAATCCATCATCTCTGGATTAAAGGTATATAATAATAAACAAAACCCAGACCTTCCAGGATTTAGGCACTACTTGGAGCCCTGGTGGCACAGCAGCGGTTAAGAGTTCGGCTGCTAACTAATGGTTGGAAGTTTGAATCTATCAGTTGCTCCTTGGAAACCCTACGGGGCAGTTCTACTCTGTCCTACAGGTTGCTATGCATTGGAATCGACTCAACGGCAACTAGTTTGGTTTTCTGTTAAAAAACAGTGTCATTTCTTTTACAGTGTCATTTCCCTTTGTTGTCCCTTGAAGGCTGCGCTCTTGACAATTTAAACTATTTGTAAGCATTTCTTGAACACATCATCTCTCTGACACCCGCTTGTGTGTTTTTGCACATGCTGTTCCTGCCCTTTGGAAGGCCATGGAATAGGTAATTGATAAGCCACCCAGGCCACAGTTCAAATATCACTTCCTCTGTGAAACCTTCTCTTATTTCTCCAGATAGATTTAGGTCCTTTGATTTGCTCTGATTTCAACTTCTCCATTTTCTGTAACTGAACTTTTCATATTCCTTCAGGTATTCTTTTTTAAATGTTTTTCTTCTTCATTGTATCATAACTCTTTCAAAGATACAGCCTGTATCCTATTTCCTTTTATACCAAGTGGTGATCCTAGTGCCTCACAAGTATAACTGAACATCAATGAAAACCCATAATTGGTATCTCAGTCCACTGGACAACACACTGCCTACTGGTTTCTCTGACTTAAAAATAATTTTTACCACACTCAAATTTCTTCATTAAGTGCATGAATGAAAGGTAACACTAATGATCTGGAAGATTTCCAGCCATAGAAGTTGTAGTAGACATCCATTGCTTGGACAGCCCAGCATTCCACACTTCTTCCCTTTTTAGAGAGGCACTCAGCTTTTTCGTTTGGAGAACAAGCTCCATTTTGTTTCATGCGGGCTTGATAGGAACATCAGTTGAGAATTTTACGGTATTTCTTCAACCCTCTTTAAGTTGTGTGACGATCTGACTCAAGAAATGCCGATCAAATTCCCTCTCCTGGGAAACTGAACCTTGATACTAGGAAGGAAAACATATGGAGTCAAACTATTACAATAGCAGTACCTTAGAGGGTTATTCCAATAGTTCCTGTTCTCTAGATCCTGGGAGTGGTTAAGAGGTTGGCTGCTAATCAAAAGGCTGGCAGTTCGAATCTGCCAGCAGCTCCTTGGAATGCCCATGGGGCAATTCTACTCTGTCCTATAGGGTTGCTATGAGTTGGAATTGACTCAATGGCAACGGGTGTGATTTGGTTTGATCTCTTTCCTTTATTTGAATTTTTCAATTATTTAAGCTGCCCAGTGTTCCTCCAGTTATTTTTATGTTATTTAAGTTTACCAGAGTAAAATGAAGGATTTATCACATGGACAGAATGAAATGTTTTCTTTCAAGAATTTTCCAGTCACTGTTATTTTTATCATGACCAATTTCAACACAAGGGCATAGCAATGCAGCCCCATACAGTCTTTACATGATTGCAGAATTAGAAGCAAACCCGACGAGTCATTTCATTCACTTTATTTCTGTCACACAGTTATAAAATCTGCAAATACTTGTGAATTACTTCTTGCTTCTCATCATCACTCAGGGATCTCATCCACATGCTATCTACACCTTTGTCTGGATCATTATCCAATTTGACAATCATCCTTCCTACTAACCACATTTCAGGTTAATATCTTTTTGTCAGCAATGAGTCTCACAATCGGTGTCCTTATAAGGCTAGGCAGGTGATGAGAAATCAATGGGGTGCATTTATCAAGCCAGGTTTTGGTGTGTACTTTATGTTTATAAAGAGAAAAATGAATGAATTTGTGTGTTAAGAGGAAATTATTTCCCTACTTTCATTCAGGGAAGACCAGATTTCTTACATTTAACTCCTTTCATCTCCTTTCCAATAAAAATGAAGAGAAAGGTCTTTTTTCTCCCCATAGCAGGTCACTCATTCAGCTGTTGTTAGTCTTCCTAAGAGAGTGTGAACATGGGCTTCCAGGGCAGGATCCTGGGAGGAAGAGTTAATCTATGTGAAGCAGCAAAATAGAAAAGGAAGATGTTGAAATTAAATCAGGCCAACTAGAAAAACCTATTATGGAAAGAAGTACCCACAAAAATGTAAAAATATTCACAATGAACTCTCTAATATTTAATGTAATGGCCTGAAATAAAAATTAGAACTGCAATACCATGGTACAAATTCTAAAAACGGAAACTCAACTTACCCAGAGAAAAGAGCTTTATTGGCAGAGACTTTTTGTTTGTTTTTTTTTTCTTTAGTTTGAAAATGTGTGGTTTAGTTTACCCCAGATATGACAAACACAATTAAGAAACATGTTAAACCCTGCAATCTCCAGATGTTGCATTTCTGTGAACTATAAATGCCAAGTACTCCACATCGCTGTTAAGGTTATAAACTCCACATTTATAATCAATGGTAAATGTGATTGATAAAATTTACAGTGAATTGTATCACCCTAGATTTGAACTATTTCAAATTGCATAAAGGTATTCATTGTATTGCCTTACTTCGACTGAGTGAACATGACCACCTGGGACACTGTTACCATCTCCACCTGAGGTTATTTAGGGCAAGCATTCATTAGAGTATAGCTGTAATGCAATGTTTTATTTTGTATCTAATTTCTTTCAAAATAACAAATATCCACCATGTATTCTGCTCAAAAACAATTGCTTTGGACAGTGTCTTAGCTTGCTAGTGCTGCTGTAACAAAAAATTCAACAAGTGGGTAGCTTTAAGGAGCAGAAATTTATTTCCTCACAGTTTAGAGGCTAAAAGTTCAGATCAAGGTCTTGGCTGTATGAATTCTTTGAGTGGGCCTCTCTCCTAGTTTCTGGTGTCTGCCAGCAACCCTTGTCATTCTTAGACTTGTAGCTGCATCTGTCTCCTTTTTTGTCTGTCTTCTCTCTGTGTATATCTTTGTGTTTTTTCTGCTCTTTTTATAACTCAGAAGTGATTAGGTTTAGGACCCACCCTACCCTGGTATAACCTCATTAGCATAACAAAAAAAGCCCTGTTTTCAAACAGGATCACATCTACAGGCATAGGGACTAGAACTTAAATACATATTTTTGAGGGACACAATTCAATTCATAATAGACAGAGTTCAATAGATTGATTTCTGCCTTGGCTTAAGTGTATAAAAAACATGATTTATAATCTGATCACCCAAATTAACACTTTAAAGAAGCTACTTATTAATGGTGTATTCAGATTATTTAATCCATTAGAGGCTCATTTTCTTTTTTAGAGAGGGAAAAACAATATATGAACTATAAAGAATAAAATATTTTATATAGGATAAGGTACAATTAAGATCTTGGCTGCTAACCAAAAGGTCGACAGTTCGAATCCACCGGCCACTCCTTGGAAACCATAAAGTGGCAGTTCTACTCTGTCCTGTAGGGTCTCTAAGAGTCAGAATTGACTCAACAGCAACGGTTTTTTCTTTCTTTTTTTTTGGCACAGTGGTTAAGTGCTTGGCTTCTAACAGAGAGGTCGACAGTTCGAACCCACTAGCTGCTCCATGGGAGAAAGATGTGGTAGTCTGTTTCCATAAAGATTACAGCCTTAGAAATCCTATGAGGTAGTTCTACTCTGTCCTATAGGATCACTATGAGTTAAAATTGACTCAACGGCAATGGGTTTGGTTTTTGGTTTTGTTGAGGTGTGATTGAGACATCATAGTATGCATATGTTCCAACTTCCATAGAACCTAGGAAACACCATTGCCAAAGTAGAATTTTCAAAATAGTGCTTCTTCACATACCTGCTTCATACGTTGTGGCATGTGCAGTCATGCTCCATGTGCTTGACCTTCTGTTTTTTGTTACCATAACCGAGAACTCATACATTGTGTTTGGTTTGAGGCCTGTTGCCGTATAACTCAGAGATGTTGTGTCTTCTGACTATACCAGTGGGAAAAAAGCAAAGAGAATCAAATGAACTCTATCAACTTGGTAACTCAAGACATGTAAAGACACTATCAAGACTATTTTACTCCAGTGAAAAAAGGGGTCTATTTCCAAAAAGGAGAAAAACTAGGGCACGGTACGAACTTTACTTCCTTCATGTCAACTAGTTTATGCTGACTGATTGTATAACCAAAATATAATCACTAGAATCAAGTGTTATGTTATTCCAAAAGGGCGGCTAGCTGACAGCTTTTCTCAAGTAAGACAATAACTGCAATGACAGGAGAAATTCCACTTCCTTCTGTGAACTTCCTTTTTGAAGTGGTCTGCACTGACTTTAACATAATTTATAACCATCAAAATTTTTTTTTCAGTTTTTTAATGTCATATATTTTACATAGATTATCATTATTCATTATGTCTTTGGTAACAAAGTTAATTTATTAGTGTTCTACCTTTTTCCACATTTAAGAAACGCATTTGATGCTAAACAAACATTAAAGTATGGTCACTGGCACAATTGAGCGGGAAAGGAATGGCATATTTGATAAATTCTAAATAATTACATTGGTGTGAAAAACAAACGTCAGTATTATTTAAATCTTCTGAAACTATTTTTTCTCTTTTAAACAACGGGTTAAAGGAATTTTAGTAGCAAGTAACTTATCTTCGTTTATTCAAAAGATCAAGATGGCTCTAAAGAAAAAACATGGGACCTCCCAAGTTTATGGATATTTTCCATATGGTCAGGCTACTTTGAGACAATTTATGCCATTTTAAATATCAATTTATGCTTACATTTAGATCTTGATCTTCTTCCAGAGTTATATATTTACTTTTACTTTTTTATTTATTACATGTGTTATATATCTATCTACATCTAGAAAATCAAGGAAAACTTTTTTCCCCATCTATGTCATATCCACTTTCTCTCTCACTACTCTAGCATGGTATATTCTTTTTACACCACTATGAATCCTTCTTAGGCTATATCTATGAAAATCCTATGTTTCATTACAACATCAAATAAATATTTAACTGCGCTAATAATGCAATGATGATGAGCCCATTTATCCTATTAAAGTGATTACCTCATAAATATCTATCAGAAGTTCTTCTTAAAACATAACTGTAAAAATACGTGTCCTAAAATAAATGTAAAAATATTTTGTATATTCAGGAAGATGGAATTCCATTAAGTAAAACACAAAGGGGTGGGGCAGCTAGTCCTTGAAATGCCGATATATAAGTTACAGTTTTGCCCTCCTCCACTGTCATGAACACCATTCTCTAAGCCTTAGAAATGGAAATAGCAGGGGAAATGAGGCAATGAGAAATATTTCATGTAAGAGAGTATGATCGTCCTCAATAAAACCAGTCTCTTTGAGCATAGACACCACTGATGTATGGGAGGACACCAAGCAACACCATCCTTGTTTGTATTCTGGGATGACACACTTGCATTCTATAAATGCTATGAATTTATTGAGTTTTCTCTAAAACCTCATGGGATGTTCCCACTCATCATAAATCAAGCCTACAGATATTTTAGAAAATGATGACCTATTATCTTGTGAGCATAGACAAGTCAGGTAGGACCTCTCTGACTCTCGATTTTCTTATCCGTAAAATGGAGACAACCATAGTATTGACCTTGTATTATTATTCAAAGAGTGAAATAAGTCAAGGAAAATATAGCGGCTGGCCCAGAGTAAGCATTAAATAAATGTTAATTGTAATATTCCAAACATTGTCCCACACTATGTATAATTTTAGCCATGCGCTAAATTCCCAACTTGTTGGAAGCATCTTGATGGCTGAGACTGAGTCTTGTACAACTTTGTGTCCTCTGTAACACCCATCCTATATCTAGTCAACATTAGTCAATAGTCAAAAAAGTGAATTTTGAATGGAAAAATGTATAACATCCTGTAAGTAAACACTTTAGTAGCAGAGATATTATACAAAATTATTCTTTTGATCCAGAAAGTCAATGCAGAGTTTTGGACAATCAAAATATGAGTATCTGGATTATGCTCAAGATGGGACTAGATAAAGTAGAAGGGAATACTTGTAGAGAGAGCCCTGAAGAAAAATGAGATGGAGTAAAATTGAAAGTTATATATAGCATTTCAAGGACTAGCTGCCCACCTGCCTTTGTGTTTTATTTGATGGAACTCCATCTTCCTGATTATACGAAGCAGTGATTATACAAACCAAATCATCTGAGTTCCATCTAGTTGAATGGGGAATTTCTGTCAAGTCATGCAACCTACCTATGTTTTTATAAAGATACACCATTATGTAGAGTCTTACTTATTATTTTTACTGTAGGTGTGAATAGCCCCGTCATATAAATGATGAAAATGAGGTTGAGCAAGTTAAGTGATATAACATGATGCAGCAAAATCAACTATTGAGCTTGGGTCATTGGATATCATGTATGTATTTTTTTTTTTCTCCCAGTGTCTTGTGTATGTCCTTCCTACCTCATAAAGCTGTGGTGGTGTATATATGATAGTGGTTTGAAAAGGACAAAAAGTAAAACCAAAGATCTGTTACTATTATTTGTAAAATTTAAATGTTTTGCATTTCTTTCTAGTGGATCAGATACGTTCTAGATTTATCCTAGCTATCCATTCTATCAAACTCTCTTCAAGTAACCCTTCCTCTTCCCAGGGCGTGAATGTACAGTTGTGTGCATGTGTGGAAAGAGAGATGGAATGTTACTAACTGAAAGCCTTAGATCAGGGAATATTATGGGGAGAGGAACAGTTTAAAATCTTTTCTTTTTTCTGTTCCCAAACTTCAAACCATGAGAGCAATCAGCCGCTCCTTACAGTGGATAGTTTTTGTGTTGGGTCTCATTTTATAGACATACTCTGTGAGACTCAATAGTTCTGTGTCTCCTGCACTAACTAGTCAACTAAAATAATTTGCCTCGAGAAATTTTGGTACTCAGACCATTCTGCAGAGAACAATCATTGTCCTTCATGGCAAAGGCCATGACCATTCTGTGAAATGAATGTACCTCCAAAGTACAGTAATTATAAGCATAAAATTTTAAAGTGGAGAAAGTCATCTTTTTAAAGTAAACTTAGAATTGGGTAATCTATATAGAGAGTTTTTTTTTTTTTTAATGCTCTCATGTGTTTCATTGGTTGTCTTATCCGATAATGTTATCTTTACTTATAGTTTTGCGAAGCTTTAAATCTAATACTGTAAGGAGATGGATAGGGCACTTACAGCTTATCTTATATCAATGACACTATTTGGACTTGCCTAGAGAGTTTTTCCAAACACCTGACCGAGCAGGGCAGCAGTACCAAAGAAAACTGTTTTTTAAACGGTTTCAACTAAAAAGTGATTTATGGTGAAATGTGAATTTTATACAGTTTCAGAGTTGAAAGAGACTAGAAGCAGATCCAGCATGGCTACAGAAAGAAAGAGGCAGACTTAGAGAATTATTGGTGGGATTTTGCTACATTGCCAGGGTCTTTGGAATCAGAAATTCCCAAAGGATATTTCATCTCCCCAAGTCACCACTGGCTTCAGGCTGGATTAAGCAAGATGGTGGTTCAGTGGAAAGGATATTAGTTAAAGTATCAGGAGATCCAAATTCTCCCTGAAAGCTACCCCAGGAGAGTGCTAAAAAGAAGGGTATAAAGGAGTACAAAGACACTAGAGTGCCAAGGTTGAGCTATTTGATTTCTTGGTTGTTGAGTGATGTTTATGCCGTTATTTTTAAAATTACCTTCTTCACTCCAATCATCATTTCATAAAACTTTAAGTTTCAATATTTCGTGTATTATCTCACTTGAATAACTTATGAATTTTCTCAAGCATATTTATGGAGCTCAGTGTATAACTCATTCCAAAATTATATGTAATAGGTTAAGTAACAACAACTAAACCATGTTTTCTTTCAAAATAAATTGCCTCTATAATCTAGCACAGTTCTACGTACTTTGTAGGTGTTTGATAATTACTTCTTGAACTTCTAATTTTTGTCTATAATATGTGTTATCTGAATATACTAACCTTGTGGCAAGCTTAGGAGGTGACACAATTATCCCAGTATTTGACTATTTGTTAGAGCTGCTAAGATTGAAGAACAGAGCCTCAAATATGTACCCCTAAGCAGCTCTTAGAGGACCCCTGGTGGTGCAATGGTTTAGCACTTGGCTGCTCACTGAAAGGTCACCGGTTCTAATATGCCAGCAACTTTGCAGGAGAAAAGACCTGGTGATCTACTCGCATAAAGAATACAACCTAGGAAACCCTATGAGGCAGTTCTAGTCTGTTATATACAGTGTCTATGAGTTGGAATTGAGTTGATGGCACACAACAACAACAAAGAGTCCCTAGGGAGGTTGTTAGATGATTCAGTGATGGGGATAGGAATGAGGGAGCTGGTCTGATTCACATTAGCTCAAGGGAAATACGGATTGTGGGTTTTCTTTACCACATGAGGGTGTTTCAAGGCTACACAAGGAAGTGGATGATAATGGCATAGAATGCTTTCTAAGAATGCTGTAAAGATATATTCTTTTCGTAACATGGGTCTCTGTGACATTAATAGGGCTGCTTTTGGCATCAATCTAGATTTCAAATGGAAAAAAAAAATATACCAAAATCTATCCAGACAATTAATGTGGAGCCCTGCTATTTTCAGAGGGAAATGACATTCCCTTGTACAGAATCAAAGTATACAAAACCAGCATGTGGTGGAATTCAAATAACATTTTGCAGCTCTTGATGTTTTTCTACCTTGCCTTAGAATTGTTTCCTAAGACACAATTATTCTTGTGCTAATTTTAGATAGACTTATTAAAATGCTTTCTTTTTGCATTGAGTATTGATGCAGTCAGCTCATGACAGTCCAGGACACATTTAAAAGAACGTATTAAACAAACGACAGTTCATTTTAAATTGCATACTACCAACAAGAACTTCACCTTGTATTTCGCACTTGCAGAAAAGCTGGTCCTCCACCGGACGGTATAAAGTCGCACTTCGGACGTTTTTTGGTTCTTAGGGACAGAGTTATCTGCCCAGCTGACCCTCACGGCATCGTGGGTAAGAGCCACAGCCTGTACACCTACTGGTGGGAGCATGGGGGTGGAGATATCTGGGACCGAGGTGGGGAAATCATCAAGCAAAGGATAATAATCAACCGGGTCAGTGGGATCTGGGTTCAAAACCCGCCAAATGAAATAAACAAATAAATACACAAAGAAAAGTCAAAAAATAAATATCAGTGGTAACACATCACAATGAGTTAAATGCATGGCAATAATGATGAAAGGGAACATGAGAAGAACAGAAAAAAATGCAATTAATTCAATCAGAAAACACATTGGAAACTATTGCTGTATTACAAAAATAACTGAGTATTTTCTATGATTTATGTACTTCCTTAGAGTGATTTCATCAATTTCACTCTTACTTCTAGTTATATATTTTAAAAGTCCATTTTGTGGAATGTTGCACATCATTTCTTAAAAGATCTAGTAAAGAATTTATCAGTTTTATACAAATAACTTAAAACAGCAACAAAAAAAGCCTTTTGGGGTTATCTGATAAATTTCCTCCTGTAAAGAAATAAATACCTATCTAACAGGTGTCTTTTTTTCTCCTCCCTCTCTTACTTGATTTGGTTTATCTAATGTTCTCCTTGCTTACATAACTTATATACACATAAATATTTTTTAGATAAGAAACAGACAATAAAGAACAAAGAACCCTGAGGTCCACAGCAACCTGTCTATGGTTGCGATTCTAACAAGCCAGAATGACAGAGTCTACAGGGGTCCCTTACATATTTAATAATTAGGTTTCAGGTAGTACCTGGTGGGACAGGTTTTCTTAGCTGGGAATCCTCAGAGAAAGCACAGAAATGTCTAATTTTACCTACATTCACACAGAGCAATTAGTAAGATTTAGTCTCTTAAGGCATTCCTGTATTCTGCCTTCCTCGCTCTAAAATTTCATTTCGGTGGAGACACTTTATATTATTGGACAAGTAGACAGAATAACTACCTGGAGACTGATAAGGTTTTCGGTGAGGTATACACATGCTTTGATCCATAACATAATCCAAATCTGCATAATAATGTGTGTTTTTAACAAAATTCTATAGAAAATTCTTGGACTCATTTTTAACCTGGGGATATCAGAATTAGAGAAGCATATTTTGTGGCCATAATAATAGTCTGATTTGGGGCATTTTATTTTATACTTAAGACATGTAAATTTTAAAATGTTACCTTTATATTATGTAATGTGTACTCTCACTAACAGATCCTGAGATGTGACCACACAGTTCTAGGGCTGTGCATGCGATGATATTTTGGGAGATGAGACCCACTAAAATGTCGTGCGTCTGCAGTCATGTACACACACAGCTTATTTTTTTTTGAACGGCCTCGTTCAAAGCAGAGTGGCTGCTAGCTGGTTTTGATGATTACTCCACTTTGTCCACTGCATTTAAAATGCCTATCACCTGTTCATCACTCTGTTTTTCAATGAATTATTTAGTAGTTTACTGGGCTGTGGTCTTGGGAGCAAAAAATGAAATCCAAAAACAAAAAAGAACAAAAGGAAAGAAAAAAAAAAAAGAGAGAGAAAGAAAAGGGAGAGAGGAAGAAAAATGCGTGTTTACAATTTAATGATGGAATCCAGGCTTCCCTATCTCCTTTGATGTCTCTTTTTATTAAGGTTTCTTTAAACCCAGGTGGATTTATGAAATGATGTAGAGGGCACTGAGGACACTGTCGCCTCCACAAGGATCCCAGTCATTTGTCCAGTTGGTGGATCAGCGGCAAATAGTTTTGCCAGGTGTTGTCACTTTACTCGTTTCTATTCCTAGCTGACTTTCCAAGAAGAGTGCTACACACATGGGAAGAGTATTGTGAATTACAAACACTTCTTTGGCCTATCTTATACTAGCAGGTTAGGGAGCCCAGGTGGTGCAGTGGTTAAGTGCTTGGCTGCTAACTGAAAGGTCTTTGGTTACAACCACCAGCTGCTCCGTGGAAGAAAAGATGTGGCAGTCTGCTTCCATAAAGATTACAGCCTTGGAAACCCTATAGGGCAGTTCTACACTGTCATATAGGGTCAATATGACTTGGAATCAACTCGAAGGCAATGGCTATTTTGTTTTATATTAGTGGGTTATCCTATTTGTTACTTCTTAGTTTAATCTAGTTTTGTTGAAAAATGCACATTGCCTTTATAGTCTTTCACAGCTATCATCTATAAGGTTTTGAAAAGTAGAGTTTCTACTTCAAGAAGTGGTAATACTCAATCCTGGATTTTAGGGTAGTATATTTTTCATGATAGGTTATCTTGTTTTTTCGAAGTCAGTTCCAGAACACTTCTCTCAAATTTCAAGCCATGCTGTTTGTTGGTATTTATGGTTTTATGTAATTCAGAATTTTCTTCCCTTGGCCTAGTATCTCCTGTCTATTTTATGGAATGACCTTTTTTTAAGATAAGACTATTGTTTTATTCACCACTTCCTCTAGAGCTGTGCTGCCTACTACCATAGCTACTAGTTACATGGACTATTTAAATTAAAATTAAAATTCCAGTACTTCTGTTGCACTAGCCAATTTCAAGTTCTCTATGTATGGCCACATGGGAGCCCTGGTGGCACGGTGGTTAAGAGCAACGGCTGCCAACAAAAAGGTTGGCAGTTTGGATCCACCAGATGCTCCTTGGAAACGCTATGGGGCAGTTCTACTCTGTCATATCGGGTAGTTATGATTTGGAATCAACTCGACGGCAACGGGTAACAGGTATGGCCACATGGGGCTAGTGCTAACTGCATTGGTCATTGCAGATACAGAACATTTCCATCAAAGCAGAACATTCTTGTAGACAGTGCTGCTCTAAATATATGCATATGCTGCGTATATTGCTAATTATCTTTCTCTTAGGTCAGAAAATGTTTGAGTCATTGAATGAAAAGAGCCTTCTTTTTCAGCTGAAAACCTTTATTCAGTTTTTTCTTTCTTCCTTCCTTTCCTGGGTGCCTTATTTGCTAATGATTTTCAGTGGTTATACTCAAAAGAAATAAAACAGAACACAACAAAACAAAGTTGTTTTTTTTTTTTAAAAAAGGCCAGATATAGCCTCACGCCTTTTGCTAAAAAGAGAAACCTATTCAGTTCCTAAGAATTTGTAAGAGCCCACAAATTTTCAGTTTTTAAAGTTCACACTGGGCTCTATAAATAATACCACATGTTTGTACTTCATTAGAGCACTGATAACAACATTTGAGAATAAACAAATGCAAACAACACACCTTGTTATTCTCATGCCCTTCTCCCTTTCCCGAGAATAAAAATGTGGTATTCTCACATCATGGAAGTCTTTACAGCAACAGTGAGAGTCTTAACCCACTTGACCTGGTAAAACTTCAGCAGCTCAAATGCTGACATGTTCAGTATGAGATAAGCCTCCAGAATGCACCAACATCTATGAGCACATGCGTGTGGAAGACACAAGGGCCCAAGATTTACTCTAGCTCCATGCATTTATTGCCTCGGAGATATTTTTTTTTACTTTTATCTTGGCTTTTTTCCAGGGCTGCTCATGGGAATACTTTGCAGAAACTCAGAAACAGAAAATGTCTTCCTTGTGGCACTACAACACATCTATTGATAGAGTTTCTTCCCAAATCTTAACCTTAAATTTTGTTTATCCATCCTTTGTTCTCCATGATGTGTAGAAACACAATAGAATAAATTGGCCACATATGGTAAAAGTGTATGCTTTCTTTTTTTTGGAAAGGCCTGATTGTATTCATTCTTCTCCAACCCCTTATTGGTTTTTGAGCTGTCTCTTCACACAATTTCCAACTTTTGGTATTATTTCATTATTTCATTTCTCAGCTTCATTAAGATAAGGGTCATTTCAGGAAGAAAAAAATTGTCTTATGAATCAATGGCATTTTAAAAACCACTCTAGGCAGGCCATATGCCGAGAAAAGAATGACAACAAATGCTAAAGGGAAAGAAATTCATACAGTCTCAAATGATTCTTTCTGAGCAAGGTACCTTCAGCTTATTGGAACTTCCCTGCAACTACTGCTCCTAATCTATGCTCAGATACTCACTTTCATTTGTCACCTCAGTTACCCTTCCTTGCGAGCTTTAGTTTAGGTAAGTGAATAAGGGTTAAAAAATAAAGACTGGCCATAGAATAATTTCTTGTGACCTGATCACATGCTCAAAGTCAGCATCTTTTATCACAGGCAGGAAAGGGATGGCTTACTGAATAAAGTTTATGGGAAGCTCTGGTACAATCAAAGTGGTCTGCTGTCTTTCAGATAACTTTGTTGCTGGTAGAGCAAGAGAAAAAGGGGAAGTGAAAATCCCAGACACCCACCCATCTCGTTATCTCATAGTTTCCATCCTGGGCCTCTATTTGCCTCATTTCTCTGTATTTGGAGATAACATGTCTGATAGTAAATGTTCTCTAGGGTAGTGCTTCTTACCCTTTTGGGAGAGTCATGAGTCCCTTTGATAAGCCAATGAAAGCTATATACGCTCTCCATAGATAAATGTGTATATTGACATGTATCCAGAATTTTGTATACCACCTTAGACAGATCATAGACCTCAAAGCCAATGGCCAAAGATTCAAGGAGACTCTAAAATAACAACTTTACGTTACAAGAAAATCTGGTTGAATTCAAAAAAGCAATGATGTGCTGTGGAAATCAACAGCTGAATTCACATAACTGCATTCTCAAGATAGTTTGTTGATAGAGCTTATGGATTTTGGGGACAAACTGCACAAAGTCCATGTACATGGGGGCAGTAGTGAAAGCTTCAGGGTCCCACTATTTATTTTATGTTCATTTATTCCTGTTTTTCAGGACTTATTACTGAGGCACCCAGTACCTTTTCATGCTCTCTGGTGCTCGTTATTAAATCTTGTCTTCAATTTTTTTTTGTCTCCTTAAGAAGAAAATAGCTGAGAAGTTAAATGAGGTCTGAGGGTTGTAGATTTTAAGAGGGGATGAGATCAAAGTCTTAATTAAAGAAATAGATCTCTTGCATTTTGCTTTCAGATTTCAGACAAAAGTCTAGGTGAGGGGCTGGTCACTTGGATTTCTAGTGACCCTGAACAGCCCCACATAGGTGTTACTTATCTATTTTGGAGTAAGCCCAGCCTTGTTAATAAATAGCCTACATGAATAGCTTGCCTCTCACCTTCTTACCCATCCAGTTCTCATTTCCTTGAGCCCTTTTCCTCTCATGTGCTGCCTATAGGCACAGTATACATCAAATAAGAATACCTGGAGGTGATGAGCCCTTGAAGTAACAGATCCTTTAAAGCCCAGAGCTCGGGGCACTGGTGTGGGGGGTCCTTCAGGCCCAGTTTAGGAATTAGCCACCTGCGTGACTCAGCCTAGTCCAAAGCAGCCTCAGAAGACCAGTTCATCTTTGTTGGCTTAGCTAGAAGGACCCTTTGCAGAAAGCGTCCATTTGAGCATTTGGCAGCCTTTGTGCTGGCACCCTCCTTCTGCCTACATTTCATTGATGTGAAACAAGCTGCTCAAAAGTGTGAAGAGTGATGTCGGGGCACCCAAAATATGAAGTCACTGGGAGAAGGGAGAATAAGAGAACTATATTCTCTAAGTCCATGAATTCCTGCTATTTTATTTTTAAAAACCACAGCAGGGGGTGGTGGGGGGCTGGGGGGAGGATCAGGGCATTACTATATACATTTTTGCTTTTCTTCTTTTTTTTTTGTTTGATTTTACATTAGTTTATTTTCCTGTTTCATAATAACTCAGATTCACTGATTACCTTGTCACAAGAGGGTTAACAATTTTAGCTTACCTGTTATAGATCTAGTGGTGGCACTTTCATAAAGAGGAACTCCTTCTCCTGCATTGTTAAAAGCTTTTAGGGAGATTACATAATGAGAACTTGACTCTGGAAAAAAAAAGAAACAAAATGAATACATTGATTTATTCAGTGTACAGAAATACTTATGATAAACATTTTTCTGAAAACAAATTTAATATAATCTATTAAGTAAACCATTGTTTCAAAAAGTAGGTTGATTTCTGGGAAGAAGGTGGCAGTGGTAGCAGTATAGTTTTTGATCTTCCTGAATCCCCCACAAGAAAAAGAAACTGAGTGATTAGATAGAAAATCAAATGCATATGGACAACATTTACAACAAAACTTGGTGAGGAGGTATGCCCTCAAACCCTAAAATACCAATGGGTATAGACAAACCGTCAACAGCTGTAGGTCTTGCATGTTATCAGCACCTGTGTAAGGAAATCACAGGGAGGGATCAAGCCTGAGAACAGGATAGCCCTAAAATAGCCAGCAGATGTCTCTGGAAAGTGAAGTAGAACAGTATGAGACAGTAAATATAAATACTCAAAACTGACTTGTGAAATCTCCCATCCAGGACAGAGGCTACATCAGGGAGAAACTACTGGGAGTAGATTTAATATCTGAGAAAGACAGAAGCAATAGAAACTAAGGGAAGAGAAAGTCCAGGTCAAAGTAGAAGAGAGGACTAGCCAGGAAAACTCAGCAAGCAAGCTGCCATAGTCTTTTTTGTCTAAATCAGGGTTTGGAAAACTTCCTGTGAAGAATCCAGATAGTAAATATTTCAGGCTTTGCAGGCCACAGGATCTCTGTCACATATTCTTTGTTTGTTTACAACTCTTTAAAATGTAAAAAAAAAAAATTCTTATCTCAGTTGGCCCATAGGAGAACAGGACCTGAGCCAGATTTGACCTGCAGGCCTCAGTTTGCTGAACCTGGTCCAGAGGGAACCCTGTGTAGTTAGAAAAGCTATTTGAACTTCTAACAGCCCAGGAAAACAAATCAAATAAAAATGAGCAACAGAAAATTACAGAGGTTAATTCCTTAAAAAATTATAAGAAAAATGAAAATGAAGAGAATATCATCTTTATAGATAAGTACACAAGAAAAATAAATATAAAAAATAGGTCAAAGGTAGACAATAAAAATAGATCAAAACTGCAATGTACTATTTCCAAATGAGCTAAGCAACATTTAAAAATGCAAGATGTAAGAGATGAGTAACATATAACAGAAATAAATTCAGAAATGAGGTGGTATGACTCAAGAAAGAATTAGATATAAATGACAACATCATGTTAGAAACAAAGACTAAACTAGATGAGCAAATAAAAACAAGGAGAATAAAAATATAGTTATTGTAGCAGTTTTTGGGCGGCGAAATGAACAAAAAAGACAGACACACACAAAGACAAACAAGACTGCAGCCCTGAGGACTTGCAGTGGTTTGTTTTTAAGGTCTCCGCCTGGGCATTATTCCAAATATCTGGTAAGTTGTTTTTCTCCTTCAAAGCACATCAAGACTTTTGTAA